AAAAGCACTGAACCTTAATGCCCTCATCTGAAACGCAAGCCAGACCACCAGATTGTGCAATGTTAGATGCACCATTGAAACAGGTACAAACTATACGGTTAAAGTCCTTGGCTAAAGGAAAACCGTCAGAATAGAGAAGCTCTTTAGGAATTGCTGTCCAGCCGAGTCGAACTCCAGTGAACCCGGCATATTTGGAAAAGGAAGAAACTTCGAGCGCAACCTACAAGGGATTAAATTTATCAGATGAGCCAGATTATGTGACCAGCTTCAAAGTAACAATCAGGACAGTTAAAACACAGAATGGCTTTGATGAATATGAACTCAATAACAAAAAATATGCAATCTTTTCTTCGAATATCTATGAATAAAATAATATAACTTTTTATTCTGACTAACAAATATCTTTGCAACTGAATGAGGTACAGGAGTATCTTGCACATTAACGTAAAAGAATGTAATATATGCACTTTCATGTTTGTAGTTCAAACTGCCACTGGAAGATCAATAAAACCAACAGTTGACAAACGACGAAAGTAGAATTATAATTATTATCTCAGTATAAGAGCTATCCATACTAAGAACAAGTATAAGAGGAATGAATAAGTTCCAATACTAACCTCCTTAGCCCCAGGAATTTCAAAAATGGATCGCGGACTATCATCTGACACGTACATAGCATAGGCAGAGTCATAGACAATGATCGACCCATTTTCTTTGGCAAACTGTACGAGATTAGTTAGTTGCTCTCTAGACGCAGCATAGCCAGTTGGGTTATTGGGAGAACAGAAGAATATGATGTCTGTACGGTTGACTTTGGATAAGTCAGGGAAGAAACCATTTTCTGGTGTACACCTCATATATTCAATATTTCCATACTTCTCTACGTCTTTCTGAAACTGCCCAGTCTGACCCAGAATGACGCTCGAGTCAACATAAGCCTATAACACAAGTTGAAACACAATTTTAGGAAGGGCCATATAAAAGCTTGTTTACCAAACAGCTGTAAAAAACTCCTACTATTGTATGGTTAGGATGTCAAACTGTAACCTAAATCAACAAAAAACCTCAACCAATGGTGATTCCAACAGCATGAAATTATTTAATTCTCATTTACGGATATAAGCATAATATCCATACCGGATAAGATGGGTCCTGAACTGCCATTGTCACAGTAGACCCGAAAAGAACCTGCCAAAGACATAACAGTTTTTATAAAGAGTTCACATGAGACATGCATCGGCAGCACATATTTAAGGAATAGGCTGAGATTGTGTGTAGATGGCTGAAAATACTAGCAAGCAAGTACAAGAAGAATGAACCTGAAGGCGAGATATGTCGCTTTTGGCACCATCGGACACAAATATATCATCTTCCTCTATGCCAAGGTTTGCATAATAGGTTGAAGCAATGGCAGCTCTTAATTTCTGGGAAAAAGAAGGGCATTTGTTACAGAGATGAAACAAGGATTTACAACATTTCTGAACTCCAGATGAATGGGAAAGAAGAAAACCAAAAAAGGTAACACCAAAAAATCATTACCAACCTTTTCACCTTGTTCAGCTCCATAACCACTGTAACCATCTATTGTCGACAGTGCATATGATCTCTGACAATATCGTTCGTAAAATCAGAAGATAGAAACAATGTAAGTACTATATAGTTAAGAGCAACTCTATCATACGTTCCTCTTTGTGTAAGTACTTAGGCATATCAAATTACAAAAGGAATGGTTTTGGCCAGTTATTAAAATATGGACAGCTTGGTATAAACAAACATGAAACACCAGAGCAACAGTGTCAAAATTCAAGCGGTTCATTTCAGAAAGAGATAGAAATTAAGACAAATTATATTCAAAGAAACTCCCGTTAAATATAAAATTATTATGCAAAACAGATGGATTCACAATTCACAAAGCAATTACCTGTGCCATAGCAGAAGTAATAACTTCTGGAATTGGCTCGGTTGTGTCACCAATTCCGAGGCTGATCACTTGCGCATCAGGATATTTCGACATGTGAGCAGATCTTCGTCTCGCAATCTAAAAGTTGTGATTAAAAAAGTATATGTGGGGAAAATTAACATCTTTATCCAAAAGCAAAGTAACAAACCTTGGCAGCTTTTAAAATTACAACAGAAGTGAAGAACTTCACTAGTTCATTTCTCAACAACTTGCAATCAAGTAAATACAGTACAAAACAAATACTAAACAAGGTACAAGCTCTAGAGGGAACCAGACGAACAAAATGAACAGAGTATTTTTCATATTATCAAATACACTGCAACTTGAGAAGATTGTAATGGCTAGACTAGTTTAGAAACTCATTACGAGTTACAACGCAGTTTTCATTCATAATGTAACATCATTTCAGACTTCTCCAGCAGTAACTGATAGCAGAAAGCACTCAACTAATAACACATTACATTAAAGATTGGAACTTGGAAAAACGATCATTCTTCCTAGCCATTACAGAAACAAAATATAGGCAAAAAAAATAAAATATCAGGCCTATTACATTACATCAGTGAGCAGGTGAATACAAGAGAATCACAAAGTCCTGAAAACAGACCTCTGGAAAGAGGTAGCCAGCTTGAAGTTTAGCCATGTTTTCATTGCGCGACACCTTCGTCGTGTAGGCTTTAACATAAGGCGCATCAATTAGTCATCAAATTTATTTGAATTGCATGCTCTGAGCAACTTACAGATAAAAAAATAAAAACAAAATACAGAGAAAAGCAAACCAAACTCCTTGTAACTAAGCTCAGTCATAGTAATTACACAAATAAAACATCAATCATTAAAACCCGCGAGCGATAAGAATCACATAAACAAATCCTGCAAAAGGGGGGTCACATTAAATGGAGCTCGCACTAAGCTCATCGACGCTGACAATAAGATTGTAAAGGTTAAAGAGGAAAAAAAAACCAATTCTTTAAAGATGAAGCAAATGGGTCACCAGTCTTTTCTGCAGACGGTGAGGCGACACATTTCACCGCCACACCAATTTTCCCTGCAATCGCTACATTGGATGGCCTGCGAGCAAATGCCCAGAAACATTCGATTAACAAAACGAGCTGATGTTAACAAAACGAGATTATTTCAAAAGGAAAAAAGACACCAACTTGATGTTGTTGAGCTTGTTTTGACCGAGAAAAGCGGAGGAGGATGAGGAGATTGAAGTGGATACAATCTGATTAATTGCAGACATTTTTTTCCCCCAAAACGCAGCAGCTCAGAGGGAGAGTGAGTGAAGTGCCGGCGGGAAATGTTCATATGCTATGCTCTCACTGAGTTCTTTTTATCTTTTATTTTTTCAATCAAAACCCTAGGAATTCGAATCACTAATTCAGTAATTTGACCTAAGATTCATTGAGGTTGGTTTGATTTAATTATTACAAATTCAGTTATAGGTTGCTACTTTAATTAAAAAAAGCAGTTGCCATTGGTTGCTATAGAGTGTCCTTATTTCAAATTATCTTTATATCTTTGCCAATTCTGGTTGAATTTTCCTTTCAGAATGCTTGCATGGACTTCGGCCCAAATTTAACCCACATTCAGTAAACTCAATTCAAAATGGGCCGCATTTTTTGCAGTCCAATCAACCGAAGCCCAATCGCAACCTTTATACATATATGATATGTCTTCGAGACGATCAAACCCCCAAAATCCTCGATTTTGTCTGAATTTCTTTTTGCAATTCATCGATTAATCTGACTATACCAAGAAGTTACAGTCTCTTCATGATTTATTGCCACCAATATCCACAAGATTCAACGCGTCCGACCTTCATTATTCAGGTATTTTTTTTCTCTTATCGCTTGAAAAGCCCTAATTTTTTTTTTCTTTTTGAATTGTCTCAATTAAATTTCAGGTATGGACCCTTTGTTCGTTCATCCGTGGTAGCATATAAATCTGCAGTTTTTCTTTTATTTTTGGGTATACTAACTTCAGAAGAGATACTTTACAATGCCCAGCTCCGATTATAGCTTTGTTGGTTTTCATATTCGAGTACAATAGCTTCGTGAGCCTTTTATTTAAGCGGACCTTCGTCCATGTTGGACCAAGTATTTCCTTTTTGAGGAAATGACTCCAATTTATGTTTTTTACAATATTAACCCTCCAATTTTTTTTTTTCCCCAAAATTAAAAAGTTACAAAGTTGATACAAAGTTCAAAGGCAACCATTCGTACCACTTCTCAAGGGAAGTTACCAAATTGTAGGAATAAATATATATTTATGGAAAAAAAGTCTCAACTAAATTATATTAAACACTATCTGAAATCGATCAGTAACTTATTAATAAAATGTCTGCTGCTGAATCTAATGGTGGAAAAATGAGCACTCATCTAATAAATGAAAACAAGAAATCTTGTACAGAAGTGGTTCAGAGGTAATGTTTTTCGTACACTTGTATGTATGAGTTGGATGCTCATAGTTAAATTAATTTCAATAATAAGGAGAAATTGAAAATAATTTCAATAACAAGGAGAAATTGAAGAACTGAAACAGTTGCATTTGGATTACAAGGAATTATTTTGTTTCTGGTTTATCTGATGAATGGAGGTTTTCATTTTTTTTTTTTTCTTTTTGTAATAGATATAAACAAGTGAAAGTGCCTCTTGGGAGTTTTTTAACTTCTTGGAGTTTTTTTTCTTTTTGTAATGGATATAAACAAGTGAGTGCTTGTTGGGAGTTTTTTAATTTCCACAACTTCTTGTTTATTTTTTCCTTTAATTTGGTTAAACACGTAATGTTAGAATAATTTTATTGGGAGATAAAAATTGGAAAACACTACTAATTATCACGTATTGGTGTAAATTACCTTTTATTTATTTTTTCCTTTAATTTGGTTAAACACGTAAGTCAAATTTCCAGCCCATATTTTTTTAGCCCAAATGACCCATTTGTTTAGCAACCCTAAGTCCATCTCTCCTTTACCTTACGCGCCTCTCACACAAAAATCTGAGATCAGAAATTGGACCTCTCGGCCTCGTCCCATTCGGCGAAACCAAATCAGAAATCCCTCAAATTCTCGAAGAATCACCCTCCTTCCTCGGATCTTTCGCCGGCGACCGCCATCTTCTCGAAAAATCAACCCCTTTTCCGTTGGCGTCCTACCCTCTGCCATCGACGAGGACTCGCAAGAACCCCTGCCGAGCCCTCCTCACCGCCATCGCAGGACGCACGCCATTCGTCGCCGGGAAGCCGAGAGCTCCGGCTACCGGAGGACGCCTCTGCAAACAGTCGCCCGTCCCACACGAAATTCCCGCTCGCAAGCAGCACACCGCGAGCAGTCCCCGAACCTGCCGCCGAGACGTCCCCGAGCAATTGTTTCTGTCCGATCATCGCAGCAACCCATCCCATCGCTATCCGTTCAAGCGAGCCTTCTCCACGAACGAAGCCTTGTTGCTGTCCGCCATCGCCAAGAGCTTGCGGGCCGTCCGAAGCCGTCCCGTTCTCCGTTTGTTGCTGAAGAACAGCGGCAGCCCTTTCACGAGCAACGCGTGTTCGAGAGATTTCGAGACTTCGAGGTCTCCATTTGTTCCGTTCGTTTTATCCGATTTCAACCGAGCGTGTAGATTCCCGAAGGAAGGTATTAATCGTTCGAACCTCCTTATTTTATGCTCGTGTTTAAACCGTGAATTTAATTCGTACTCGACGGATTGGAAACCGTTGATTGTAGTTCAAATAGTTTGTGGAAAGAAACGTGGAAGAACTCTCGTTCGGTGCCTTTTTATTTTTGGAAATGAAGCCTTGATTTATATATATATCCCTCTTCTTCGAGCCTTTCCTTGGGGTTTGAATCATGTGTTTGAGCCTCGTTTATTGCTTGTGATATTTAGGAAAAATCGTTTCAATTTCCCTGTTGTTTTGGCCTAGGGAATTCTAATTCTTAGCAGCCTCTATTCGATTTTTTTAGCCTTTGATATGAGTGGCTTATAGCCTCCGAAATTGGATATTTCATATGACTGTATGTTTGTCGTAACATGTGTTGTTTGGCATGAGATATTTATGTTCGGATTGGATGTACCCGTGGTCCTAGTGGACTTAAACTGTATTATGTGAAATTTCGAGTAGCGCCCGTTAAATAAATCTTTAAAATGATTTTTGAAAAATTAACTCTGATTTTTGGAAAAAAGAAAAATGTTATTTTTCACTTAAAAATAATGGGGCGTTACAATAATGGTCGTGATTGAGAGTTAAAGTGATTTCCAAATTTTTGTGTTTATTGTTGTCCTTTCAAACTTTGACTCAAGTTTGAGTGTGATGAGATTGGTTCTACAAGCAGGAGGTTTTATTTTATCACGCTTTCTAATCCTTACTGAGCCACTCTGTTATCAAGGTTTAGATATGGATCTGGAGACGGAAAATAGAATAGCTGCCATTCTCTTGAAGGAGGCTGCTGAATTGCGCAGGCAGGCTCAGAGGGAAGGTGCACTTGCTTACCTTCGTCAGCCTACTGCAAGAAGTAGGCCCAATTCTCGGTTTCTGACAGCAACTGTTCGTGGAGTTCAACAAGGTTAGTTTTTGTTTGACGGATTTTCTCGCTTGTAATGGTAGTTACAGTGATCATCGTGGATTTTTCGCTGTTGTAAAAAAAAATGTATGTTTTGCATGATTGAGGTCGGTTCTAGTGGATTGTTCATTGTAGAGTGAGAATCTTTGATTGGGAGCAAACTTTGGTGCATTTGTTCGCACTCTTTCTTGTTATGTGAGTATAAGTTGGGGAGATATATTAAAAACAATCGAAGTTACTTTAGACATACCTGTGATTTTTATTTTTTATTTCTTGGAAAAAAAATGGGTTTAAGCTACTCTTGTTATTTTGATGCTATAGATAGATAGATTTTGTTAGCACGTAATCTCGCTCTGCAACAAGATTGTCCTTTCTTATGGAAATCAATATCTTCTTTGGCATGTGTTTGTAGATATGGAATCATAAGATAAGAAATAACTTTTTTAGAAATTATTTGAGTCTCAGTAGGAAGAATTTGAGTATTTCGATCTCTAATGGTATGGATCATGATTTATATCGGCCTTTTTGTCTGAGATAAGATTCGAAAATTTTCCAATAATTACCCTTGATATTTTCATCAACAGCTAACCGTGTTGTCGAGGTAAATGAGATGTGGCGGCTAAGGGAGAAACAAATAGAGCTGGACAATAGGCTTAGTGGAGCAAGAAATGAAAGCAACACAAATAGAAATTGCAAGGTCACAAGTGAATTTTCTAGAAGGAGTAGAAGCAGCAGCAGCTGCAATGAACCGGAATCATGTAGAATTGCCACTCTCTCTTCAAAGAAGAGAGATATTCAGAATCTTGATCCAACAGAGGATGAAGGTTTAAGGGATGATGAGGTCGACGAATTTCTAAATTCCAGGTGGATTTCTATTTCGCTTTATAAAACTTCCTTTGCTAAGCAACATTTTTAAGGATATTATTCACTAATGTTGTCCAAACGGCCCCAAAAAAATCATGTGAGTAATAAGATGTACTATGTTACAAGCTATAACAGTGTCCAAACAACCTCATTTTATTAAAATGTAAACTTTTTTTGTTTTTTAAATTATGATTTAATATCTTGTAAGGTTGAAACATATGTGATAATATATGGGATGTTATTAGATCTTTTGAGTAAAGCTTTAACTAACTCAAACAAATTACGAAACTATATCTAATTATATAGTTCTTTTAATGGCAGAGCTAAGAGGGGTCGGGGAGCAGTTGGATCACGAATGGATGAAACTGGTCCATACCTACCTTCATGTCCAGTTTCAAAACCAAGCTTTTCAGAAAGTTCTATTGAGGAGAAGAAGAAAGTTTTGCTTGGGCCCCTGAAGCCTCATCAATTGAAGTCTGTTGAATCTTCTGATGATGAATCAGATGAAGATAGGAGGAGGAAGGCAAAGAGAGGCTCGGACAAGGGCCACTCAAAGAAACACAAGTCGAAAGATAAGTCGAGAGATAAGAAGAAAAAGAAGAGGAAGGACAAAAAGCATAAATATCATTAAGTGCACATCAAATGTAGTTTTAAGTGTTGTTGTGTTTGTTCCAATGGACACACAAGATTTCGTGGGCTTGATTTTGGGGAAGATCTTCCAAATTTATTGCCATGAGTGTGTTGTTCGTCTTCTTGTCCCGATGTTGCGTTGTGTATTACGCCGAAATGGAAATAATTTTATGATCTTTTCACAAAATCAAGTGAACTTACTGGTTATTCCCTTGGAAATTTTATTCGCATGTTATCACTTCACATTACTTCATAATTGATATCTAAAAATGAATAACAAATTATTTAGTAATGAGCCATATACAAAAAATTATTTATATAAAAAATATTATTTGATTTTATCAATAACTGCACTGAACCAAATTTTTTTGAAATTCATTATGTAAATCACAGTATCATTAAAAATTTCAGATAAATTAATAGATTAGAAAGAAAAATTAAATATTTATAATATACATTATTATAAGTTATGTAAAAACAATGTTGACGTAATTAAAATTAATATTTTTGAACTTCAAAATAATATGTATTACTATCTTTTTCAATTAAATGTTGGTTTATAATATTTGACACTATTTTATAATTTTAGCATAATTTATTTAGAAATCGACATATATATTGTAATAAGGTATAAATAAGTGAGAGAGAGGGAGAGAGAATGGTCTATGCTATTTGATTTCAAAAATCTATACTTATATAATAAGAATTAACATTTATCCAAAATAGTAGGTCAAATTATGGTCAATGTCGGATTTGCATTAAATATTTTCCAAAACCGGTAAATTTTTGTCCTTTTCACACTTCTCATTAATTATGTCTTTTTCACACTTCTCATTAATTATGTCTTTTTCACACATCTAATTAATTCATTAATTACGACATAATTATCATAAATCATTCCATATGAGCTTTTATCGTTAAAATGTATAGCGGTCTGTTATGACCTTATCTCATTGATATTTCCATGAAGCGTCCTTATCGCGTTCTATTTTTTGGTAACCACTCTATATCAATAACCGGATATTTGGTTAATGATAGCACACGTCTTTATTTCAAGGAGCGGATATTCTTTAACCTTTAATTAATCTGAACTGATTGCCTTGACTTTTCAATTTTTAAAAACTCTTTTTTTAAATATTTCAGCTTAAGATTCGGATTTCATTATACAAGTCATCGGATTGTTTGAATGAAAATGAATGAAAAGAACACCAAATAGGTAGCCTTATTCATATAACCAATCCTAAAATATTAGTTTGTTCAGCAAAAAGAGACAAATCCTAAAAATCCTAAAATATTAGTTTGTTCACCAATCCTAAAATATTAGTTTGTTCACCAAAAATATTAGTTTGATTTTTAGGATTTGTCTCTTTTGAAAATATTAGTTTGTGATAATGAGGAGTTACCAAATAATCAAACTCATAATGTTGTGTACAAAGAGGTTTTTAATAATATATGATTGTTACGAACTTTTTATGATTCAACAATGTTCTTATGTATTTTAATGATTTCAATTTCGATCCTAATGCACGTGAGGTTATATTATTCTTCCAAATTTTACATTCCGTACATCGCACGGGTTACGTACTAGTAGTCAGTTATGCTATTTGATTTTAAAAATGGTTTATTCAGTCTTATACATACGCGAGGAAAGTAGAGAGAGATCCCGTGAGTAATATCTATTAATGATATTCAAATATGTTAAATTTTTATTATTCATAATTGTAAAAAGAATTCTAAATTGACAACTATTTTATAACGAGTTAAATAAATATATAAATTATATATTAAATTACTATATATCATAAAATAAAAAAATATTAATATCCAAAATTATTTTTATACTAATCAATATTTCATTATTTTAATAAAAGCGGTTTAAAATTATTGCACCTGATACGGGCAAATTAAGACTTTTTCTAACGTGGAAATTTATAATTTGTCCATATCTATTGTTGGAAAAATATCTATTGTTTGGATCAGATGACGAGAAAATTAAGAAGGAAGACTTTTCAAATTTTTACAATTCAACTTCATGTACTAGCTAGCGGCTGCCCACTCTAAATTCATGTACATGTGGAATAATTGAATGAAATTACAAACCCCACCAAAAAAAATTAGAATCAAAATAAATCAAAACCCAAATTTCCCATCCTCCACACCACACCTATAAAAACCCTAACCCTACTGCACCAACTTTAGCACCAACATTTTGCTACCAATTAATCAAAAAATGAAATTCAACATTAACAACTTCCCATTTTTCTCCCTCTTCTCCATTTCCCTAGTCATAATTGCCACGTCATTACTACGCTCGTGCCTGGGTCAAAACTCGCCGCAGGACTTTCTCAACGCGCACAACGCAGCGCGCAGACAGGTCGGTGTGGGCCCTATGACTTGGGACCCAGCAGTGGCCAGCTTCGCCCAGAACTATGTCAACAGCAGGCTCAGAGACTGCAACCTCATCCACTCGACCAACCGGCCGTACGGCGAGAACCTCGCGGCGGGCTCCGGCGACTTCACCGGCCGAGCGGCCGTGGACCTGTGGGTTAGTGAGAGGCAGTTTTACAACTACGGTTCCAACTCGTGTGTCGGGGGAGAGTGCCTCCACTACACTCAGGTGGTGTGGCGGAACTCTGTCCGACTAGGGTGCGCGAGGGCTCGGTGCAACAACGGGTGGTGGTTCGTTTCGTGCAACTACGCGCCACCGGGCAACTATGTGGGCCAACGCCCTTACTAATTGTTGCTCGTCGGTCTTAGCTAGCTCTCCATGGTGTTTGAATCTGAATAGTTTTAATTAATTAATTATGCATGGGCATGGGGATTGATTTGAGTCTATATTATGGGGTATATGAATAATGTTTGGAATAAAGATGGTCTTTGTACTAAGCCAAAGATATAATAAATGGAGAGTGTGTTTGGATTAATTATCATTTTGGTGAAGTTTGCTCGTATTAAGTGTCTACAATTCATTCAATAAATTTCGAAGCCGGGGAATGATAATAACATGAATAAGTAAACTATTCGAATCGCAGATTTTTTTATATATTATGCTTTATTGGTACTAATCATACCAACCTATAGTTAGTCACTTTATTGGTACTAATCATGAATAGGTAAAAACTTTGTTGTGATTTCTAAAATAGTTGTTCTTACATTTTAAGTTCTTATAAATAAATGTTTGCATATATTTGTGATGGAGTGACATATATATATATATACAATATTTCAAATTGAAGTTATATAATATCCTAGAGTGCCTATTTTTTGTCCCTTAGAGATAGAGTTGTAGTTATAATTTTTTTTTAAGTATTACATTTTTATTGAAAATATATTTGTGAAAAGAGTATACCGATCGACCTAATCATTAAGCTAACCTAACACAAAACATACCTAAAGAAAAAGCTATCAAGTGTATAGGAAATTATTCGTTATTTTGTGTATCTCTCACTTTTATTATACATACTAAAGTCAAATATTTTTATTAAATTGTTTATTCTGTTTGGCATACATTCAATAAGGTCATTGTTTNGGTCATTGTTCAATAGACGGTACCATTATTGTCGATCATATTTTTCAACATACTCAGAAATTTCACAATATAAATATCCATGGTGTGCTATATATCACCATGTAATACTATCACTAATTATAAATTAAAATAATATGCCCAGAAAATAACACATATCTTCTAGTTATTTAAATTAGCTTTAACTTTTCATCTTCTTCTTTTCTTTTCTTTTTTCTTTAATTTATAAAGTTTGGGAATGGGGAAATTAAATTATAGAGTAGACATACGCAATAAACTTCTGCTAGTAAACAAAATTCCCACACTTAAGCAACACTCTTACAGTTACACCCTTCTTTTAGTAAAGGCACAAACAAAAGGATATCTCAATTAGTCAAATAACGCCAACATATGGGACAAAGGGGATGTTTAATTGACTTTTGGGTTGCTTATAAAATATAATTGCTGAATTGTATCAAACTCCATTCTTTTGCACATGCTATTTGCTAAATTTTAGGCCATGAAACTATCCACACTCCCTATAAATACCCAAAGACAAAATCCTTCCAATTATCAACTCAAATCAAAATCTCATTCCATACACAAAACCCTAATCAAAACTTGAAGTAATAATTATGGCATGGCATTGTATACCCCTTTCCTCTTTTATAATTTTATCGCTCCTAATTCTCACAACTACCGCTCAGAACTCGGCGCAAGACTACGTTAAGGCCCACAACACCCCTCGTGGACAGGTGGGCGTGGGCCCAATAACGTGGGACCCGACTCTAGCTACCTACGCTCAGAACTACGCCAATAAGAGAATTGCCGATTGTGCCCTGATACATTCCAATGGGCCCTACGGCGAGAACCTGGCTAAGGGCAGCAGTAGTACTTTCTCGGGTCTGTCTGCAGTGAATATGTGGGTTGCCGAAAAACAGTGTTACGATTACAGCTCGAACTCGTGCACGGGTGGCAAACAGTGCCTCCACTACACTCAGGTCGTGTGGCGTGAGTCAACTCGTGTGGGGTGTGCTCGGGTGAAGTGCAACAACGGGTGGTACTATGTCGTCTGCAGTTACGACCCCCCGGGCAATTGGGAGGGGGAATGGCCTTATTAATTTGTGGGTGACAAAGTTTTTGTTATAACACTTTGATTAAGCTAAGGTAAATTGTACCATCACACGGTCTACTAGTTATATTGATGTGATGGTATACTAATTAAATAAGTATGTGATGGTACTAATAAAGTGAGAATGTTGTATGGTTTCTTTTTGTGTAACAAGCTTTATATATTGTGTTAAAGCAATAAAAACTATTCTGGTTTGATTAAGCTAAGGTAAATTGTACCATCTCACATGGTCTCCTAGTTATATTGATGTGATGGTATACTAATTAAATAAGAATGTGATGGTATACTAATTAATTAAGTGAGAATATTAATTGTATGCTTTCGTGTTATATATTGTGTTAGAAGCGATAGAAACTCCTCTTCTTCGCGACTGGATAAAAGAACCGGGATATGTATGTGATATTAGAATGACGATTTAATTTACAGTGATCATGTGTTGCTAATAATTAATTTCTCATGCAATGCATGATATATGCGTTAGTATTGAGCTTTGACAAATATGATAGTGCTTGATTCTAGTTTGGGTTGCTTTAATTTCTCTATAAAATTTGAACTCTGGTTTGATATTAAATATTAATTAGTTGTCAAACACAATGTTTTGAATACGGGCCCGTAGTTGACCCGGGCTGACCTCAAGTAACCGGTTCAACTGTCAAGTCAAATGAGTTAAATTAAATAATAAGAAAAATTATATTTGTGTAAAAACGCTAGTAGAAACGCTTCAATATGCGTTTCAAACTTCAACTTTTTCTTCCCTCCGTCAAGTAAAAAAGTTGTTTTACCAAACATTATTAATCGTTATTTTATTTGATCAAATCAGTTGTTATTGTCTTTTGCCGAAAACGTTGCGAACCATACGCAGTCGATGACAATATAGGTTCAAATATGAAACCAAAGATGCATAAATTGTTTTGGAGTATCGGCTCGTCTGCTAAGTAATATGCTATGTGGTTGCTTCTTATTCCGACTCATTTTAATCATGAGATTCATGAGCTGCAATTGTTCGGAAGCTTCATTTTCCCTAATTCTTTTAACTAAAACATCTCTTTTATTCTTATAAGAGAAAATGCATTCACTTTGTTGTGGCGCCACGTGGCTCATTTCTTGCGTTCTATTTCATTCAATGACCAAAAGCCCCTCATTTTTTTGTGACATCTTCTAAGCAAAACGACACCGTTTTGTCTTTGCTTAATTATTAAGCAAAAGACTTTTCTCAACATATCTTCTCAAAATGAAACCCCCGCTGCTCATTCACTCTTCACACACACAGAAAAAACCCTCGCTCCTCATTTATTCTTCACACACACACAAAAATGAATTTGATGAGGTGACGAAAGTCGTGGGCGAAAAATTGAACGGATTTCTGATTGCCGTCGTGAACTTCACCGGCGAGGCTCTTGCCTGGTTCGATGGCCTGATTTGTTTCCCGTAAATTGGGATCGACTCTGCCTAAAGGTAATTGTGGTTTGTTGTATTCATTGTTGGTTTGTGCTATCGTTTTACAGGCCTAATTTAAAATACTTCTTTTTTGCTATCCAAACTTATCAAAAGCTAAAAAACCCTAGCTGCGACGGCGGAGGTGACGGACGACGGTCGACCGACGGTGATGGCGATGTCGAAAAGGTGACGAGACCTGTGAGGTGAGCCGATGATATACAGATAGCGGGAGACCCGGCGGCAGAGCTAACCGATGACAGAGAGATAGGAGAGACCCGGCCAGGCGCAAGAAGGCGGATGGGAGAGTGGGAAACCGACAGGGCGGCGAGCAGACGACAGTGTGAGATGGAGACCCGGCGAGCAGCGAAGCGGATTCATTCGACCGATACATTCCGGTAAATATGGCCAACCTTTTTTGCTTTTTGTGTGGGTATTATTTTTTGTATTTTGAATGCGATTTTTTGCTTCGATTGGACAACCCGTGTGAGTGATTCTGTAATCGAGAAGTTACAAAGTGAAAGGAATGGTTTTAAGGTGAGAGCTAAATTGAAAGAATGATGTTATTGGTGTGAATTGTGAAAATGGCCATTGATTATGAGCATACTTTGTTGGACTACAAAATGCTGTCGAACTGCAATAGGCTGGAAAAGGTGATTAAAGAGGTATCTCTAGAAACTATGTCAAGACTCCAACACCGACTCATTTCGCGAGCCACACTCAGAAACACCTCCTCCACCAGAGTAATATTAACTGCCGTAGGCATTGTTTGAAATGTGTTTGAAATGTAAATTTACTTTTTAGGCCTTTCTCGCTTTGTCCGTTTTAAATGTGTTTATAGAGAAAATATATGGATCTCTGTTCAAGTTGTTCTTGTTGCTTCATACTTCATAAATCTGACCAATAAAAGGAATGAAGCATGGCATGCATATGTTTACCCTGATAGTTTGTTTATGAATTTATGCCTTAATTGGAAAAAAGTATGGAGCTCACATAACGCACGCCACGTGTCATGTACGGATGAGTTCTCGAGTTCTTTAAAAGGAGCTGGGAGGGATGCTAAAGGTATTTTTTTAATCTTTGAACTCTTGTTTATTATTTTATCAATGTGAATGTTTACTATATTTAGTCTAAATTGGTTGAATTCGAGAGTCTTTGTGTTGTCTCTTTGATGCAAAAATGAATTATCACAATTCACATGTGATAGGCGCCTGTTGTTTTTTATGAGATTTAGGATAAATGGGATGCTTGTCTCTTATACTTATAAGGGAAAATGTCTTCCCTTTGTGTGGCGCCACGTGGCATATTTCTTTCATTTGTAGTGAGGCCACGTCACAGAAATGTGCCTTTTGGAAGGGCTTTTATTTTTTGGTTGTTGTCTGAGCAAAACGACGTCGCATAGGCATAGTATCTTAAACAAGAAATGTCCGATCGAGCAGCAATGGGTAAATTTTGGAGAGAGCTTCTTTTGTCTGGCCGAAACCCTATCTTCCAACTTTAACTTTTTCTTCAACGCAGAGGGACAGAGTGCCCCCAACTCAAAGAAAATCAAAGAACAAACGGGAGATTAAGGTTCGAGATCGGCAACTGGGCTTCGCCGAATTGCATCCGTCCTGCTCGAGTTTCATTCAATTGAGCCCCGAAGTTTTTTAATGAAAAAGAGGTACCCTTCAACTTTTTTTCCTTCAAAAGCTTCCCAAATCCGCAACTTTTGTTAATGAAATTTTCTTCAATTTACCCACTTCGCAATTTTTTTTCTCTGTCATCATCTGACCAAAAACCTAATTGTTTTCTCCAACCTAATTGTTTCATAACCATGTTTTTGCTATCATTGTGGATAAGTAACATGTAAAACTTGATTTGTTATCATATTTATTACCACGAAGGATATTCTGTTTTGTTGCATTTTATGAATTTACTTTACAAGCTCTCGCATTAATCATGCCAGCATGAAAAATATAATAACTGTGAAACTTTTAGGGGTGAATTACTAACTTAAATATGCTTATTTTCAGGTGTACTGATGTGTATATATGTTTTTTATGTACAGGTTGAAGGATCACATTGTAGGGATCTTTTTTGGACAGATTATATTGATTTTGTGGCAGAGCATTTGTTGGCATCAATTTAACATTTTTTAGAATTGTAATTAAGGTTGTGATTTCATGTTGGTGCTATATTTTTCTCCTCGGTTACTGCAACAAAGAATTTTGGCTTCTTTTTCTACGATATGGATTTTTTCAATTGTTCTTTTACTGCTTTGAGAATATCATGGCTTGCACTGATCAAAAAGAAAATAACAGAAAACACAATTTGTCTAATATTTTTTATCAAGATGACAATGCTTAGTGCAACTAATTTTACTCTTGTTTTCCAGTCAATTTTTGAGGCAAATTATAATAATAATACGAACACGAATAAAAACTCCAACGTGAGTCAAAATGGAGACTACAGAAATTCAGAAAACAAACCAGGAAAAATAGAAACACCTTTCATGTGTTCTTCCTCCAGCTCCCACTGCCTCTCCTTACTTCTACCACCACATGTCAGTGGTCTTCGGCAGAGAGGAGAAGCCTTGGATACCAAAATCGAATGCCCCAAGGTTGTACCTACAGTATGAATAGGCAGAAGCCCACCGTCGATATCTCTCGACCTTCGGGAAAATTGAAAATCTGTATTCACATGTTGTCCGTGGTTCTTTATATAAGTATATTTGCTAGGTAACTGGTAGTACTTCTCAAGTCGCGGTTTTAAAAGACAGGGAGAAAGTTCGAACTGAGAACAAAGTCATGACATGTAAGCTATGCTCAGAGTAACTTTGCAATGATAATAAATCTCTTATATAGAACATCACTGTTTATTGTGTTTTTGTGTTTATTTTCGTGTGTTTTATGTGTTTTAGTTGAGTGATTTTAGGTCCGTTTTAGTATTGACCGGTCCATTTTATCGTGTTTCGTGCATTTTTGCTTTCGTTTTATAGATTTTGTGGTTCGGCGTATTTTCTTGTCTTTTTGGTGTTGTTTAGGTCCACATTATTCGAGTTCGGGAAGAGGAGCCATTTTCCAGACATTCCCGAGCCGTCTGAACCATGTCCGAGCCACGCGAACCATTTCCGAGCATATTTATTAATTGCGGGGTGACATCTATTTGCGCATCTCAAGACGAGGAGAAAAAGATTTGAGGCGCGTGGGTCAAAGTTTCGGGTCAATCGGATAAGCGTGCGAGAAGTTAGAGCAAATCGAGCTGCCAGAGTCGACCGACCCGACCCGATCGAGCCGCCCGAGTCGACTGACCCGACCCGACCGACCCGTCGGAGCCGACCGACCCGAACGAGCCAACCGAACCACCCGAGTCGTCCCGGGCCATGACTGGGTCCGGACCCACGCACCGACTCTCGCCCTCGTGCCAAGGCCCGCGCGCACGCAAGCCCTGCCCCTGCCCGCG